AGGCATGGGCTAAAAAATGCCAAATGCGATTTGATTTTGAAAAATGTAAGGTTATGCACATGGGAGCAAAAAATATGGGCACAGACTACCACTTAGGGGGTGCTACATTAGGGAATTCAGACATAAAAAAATATACCTGGTATACAAGGACCTGGGGGTCCCTATATACCACAGGTTTGCCAATAGTAAGCAATGTGAAGTAGCAGCCAGCAAAGCTAACAAGATACTGGCGTGCATTAAAAGAGGAATTGCAGCAAGGGATAAAAGAGTAATACTCCCACTCTATAAATCACAGGTTCGACCTCGAGTATGTGGTGCAGTTCTGGTTGCCGAACTCTGAGGAAAAACGTCCGGGAACTGGAGGGAGTTCATAGAAGGGCTCCAAAATTAATTAAAGGGATAGAAGGCCTAAATTATGAAAAACTCATTCAAAATGTAAATGTATTCACTTTAGAAAAGAGGCGATTAAGAGGAGACCTTATTACAGTCTTCAAAATCATCAATGGGGACCACAATAATCGGAAAACAAACTGTTTGATCTGAAAACTGTATTGAGAACTCGGCAACACAACATGAGGCTAGAATAGAGGGGTTTCAATCTTAGAAGTTGTAGGGTGTTTTTTACTGTGCTTACATTAGTTTTTTTTAAACTGAGGATTCTAGGAGTGTGAGGGGATATTAGGGTCCTCGCAGCTCTTGCAATTGTCCAATCACTTGATAACACCTGCATGTTACCCAGTCATTTTTTAATCTGCCTGTGTAGTGTACTGATGATCAAGAAAAAAACAACAACTTTGTTTATGCAATATTTCTGTATGTAAATTGGACATATTTCTGTATGTCAAAATAAATAACGAACACAGTTAAATTAACTCATACATTTAAGTCAGTTGACCCTGTTTTCTGGTGCAGTCTTGAATTTAATTAGAAAACACAGCTATTACCTTAGATGCAAAAAACTAAGGAAAACTCTGTTGCCTTTTTATCTATAGAGGAAATGTTGAACTTTGTCCCCCCCACCCCCAAGTCAAAAAAGCCTGCACGGGTAAAGACTTGGTCTAAACTGTGTAGGCCGAATCTCTAAAACACTAGAGTATCTGTTTCTATGCCAGAGTAGGGTCATGGGGCATCACCAAAGGCCATCTTAGTAATGACAAAGCCCCTATGGCTATTGCAATTAGTTTAAAATATATAAATGTATCCATTTAGTTTAGTATCGGCGATGCACATTTTCTACTGAAATCATACCAATAAAACTGCTAATGAAATAAGTCGCTGTAGAATGAAAGGTTCTGTAAATCAACTGAATTTAGTCACAGTGTACACCATAAACAGTGTTAAAGGCATTTCATATTTTATAACACAGTTTTGTGGTCGGCTAAAAAAAACAAAAAAACAGAGGAAACCCTTAGAGAGTGTGACCGTAAATTAAGGAGTACAGGTGGTTACATTTAGTTACGTTGTACAAGCATTCTTTACCTCATTTACCTTACAGGTGGAAGCACAATAAATATAACAAAAGTGCAAGTTGGCCTTAAATATATGCACTAAAATTACAGTACAATAGTAAAATAAAATTGTATTTACACACTGAATATAGTTCATATCTTTAAGATGTCATCTTTTACTAATGTCACACAGTCTAAAAAAAAACAAAAAAGTGATCAGTATTCATTTAGATTTACCTGTGGTGCTATTTTCCTAATGTTTACATTGGCTTGGTAGGCTAATGTTATAAAATAAGTGTGAATGGGAGGTGCTGCATCTAGGAATTTTTCGTTCAAGCAAGCGGAATAAAGGCTTTTATTTAAGGAGTGCAATGGCTCCAGTTAGACTGCTTTCAGGCCAATTGGAAGGTCACAGATAAACCTTAGGAAGGTGAGTGACTAACAGTGGCATGTTAAATGTTAGGAGCCTGAAAGGATTTATTCAACTGCAGTAACAAGCCAACACTATTCCCACACCATCATCAGGTTTTACAATACTGTATAGTAATACTAACAGATTTTATACATTATATATATATACAGGTGAAACTCGAATAATTAGAATATCGTGGAAAGTTCATTTATTTCACTAATGCAACTTAAAAGGTGAAACTAATATATGAGAGAGACTCATTACATGCAAAGCAAGATAATTCAAGCCGTGATTTGTCATCATTGTGATGATTATGGCTTACAGCTCATGGAAACCCCAAGAACCCCAAATCCACAACCTCAAAAAAGTAGATTATTACATGCAATCAATAAAGCAAGGATTGTACATAGAGCAATATCGGACCTCTGAAAAGTACAAGCATGCATATGTACTCAGTACTTGGTTTGGGCCCCTTTTGCAGCAATTACTGCCATTACTTTTGCACGATATTCTAATTATTCGAGTTTCACCTGTATATATATTTATTTTTTTGAGGAGAAAGGCTGGAATAATTTTAAAAACCACTAGTTGCTGAAACGTTTCCACTATCGGTTACATACTTCATCAGTCATTGTTCCGAGTCCCTTTTCCTCCATCCTATACAGTATTGTAACCCCTAATCATAGGGATACACATTTTTAGCCTCTGAAATGTTGACTTGTTACACTGGATTCCAATAATGTAAAAAAAATGCTTTCAGATTTGAAAAACAATTGGTGTGGCGCTCTTATTAACATAATTTCCCAAAGGTTAGAAATGCTCATCATTTAAGGCATTCACAAAGGGGCTTATACTGCACATCTCTCCTGTTTCCAGGGACAATCTATCTCGACCTGCCTCATGTAAACCAGCACACCTGCGATTCCCGCCGCAAGAATCCATAGGTTCTTGCCACAGAAATCTCGGAAATCAGCATAAGCCCCCGTGTGAATGGGGCCTTAGGGTGGCCATAAATGAGATGATAATCAAAAGCAATGCTCCTGATTAAAGCATCACTTGTGATGACTCAGCAGCTTCAGAACTTTGTAGATACTTATTTAGGGTTAGGCAAATATCTTACTGCCCATAAATTCTGGAGAGAGAGCTGCTCTTCTATGGGTAGATAACGCATGTGTCTGTGTGCTCTTCAATTGTATTAACCTGTTGCGAGCTGATGCATGGATGAAGAATCCATGAGGTAAGAGATTTGTTTGTTCTATCCACAGGAAAAAGAACAGTTAGAACTTAGTTGCAGAGACTTTACAACATGTTGTGAAACCTCTGTGTGCAATAATAAAAAACAAACAAAAGAAAAGCAACACCTTTTGGCACTAAGAATACCGTATATACTCGAGTATAAGCTGAGTTTTTCAGCCCATTTTTTGTGCTGAAAAGTGCCCCCCCTCGGCTTATACTCGAGTCAGCCTCTCAGTGGTCAACAAAGCTCAACTCCTAAATGACACAATAGTCTCATGGCTACTGTAAACGATTATTCAAGTGTGTGTGAAGGCAAAACTTTAGTTTTGGATAGAGTGAGGGAGAGGTAAGTCCTCTGCCAAGTTTTTATTGCAGTCTTGAGTACCCCACTGGTGACCCTGATCACCGAATTAAAAAAGGGGAAGCCCTAATCCTTAGAGTCGTCATAAGAGCAAGATATGAGTGGACATTTTCAAACGGGGGGACAAATGTCCTGCTGAAAACTCTCTAAGATGGGTGCTCCTCTCACTTGCGGTTGCATCTCCAAGACAGAAAGTGAAGGAAAATCTTCCAAGGACACAGAAGGCAAAAAATAAGGTTGTAACCCTTAGCTACTACATCCAAAACGAATGAAAAATGTGGGCTATGAAGCCAATGTCCTCAGAAAACAGAGGAGGTTAAACAAATGTTGTCAACACCAGTATTATACAGCTTAATTTTACATGTGTAGGCTACACTGAAGAAAAAAAAAGGTCATGGTTAGTTTATTTTTTTTGGTCATAACGTTGTAGGTTGTGTGACAGAGTATTACATGTTTAGCATAAGTATAAGTGGTCAGTAAAATGGGCGACTTTTCCAACTTCCAAAGTGAACAAACTGTTGTTGTCCATTTAGTTTGATGCTTCAAGGACAACAGTCTTTACAGTTATGACTGCATACAGAAAGCAAGGCAAAACGTCCCAGGTTAAGTACAGTGACTGGAAAAAGAAATTTAAATTTAGCATTAGTTATCGTTCTTCCATGGTGTTAGCTATGTAAAGTTCTCTGCAGATTGTTTTTGTAAAAGCACGATCTTCAAGGTGGTAACTGAGTTCTGCTGTCACTTTTACTACAGTGGTTCTTTGTTGTTTGGCCACAATCCTTATTTTGAGAGTTTGACAGTTCCTGCCATTTAATTTCAGTTTGCCCACTATTCTTCTTTGCTGATTAAGTTTTGCCATATTTTGTATATGCAGTCAAAGCTATGGAGACAGTTGCTCTTAAAAAACAAAATGATTTGGCTGCTATGATTACAGACACCCCTGCCAAAATGGGCACCAACAATTTGTCCTCTTTAAAAATCATCTTCAAAAATCTTTCAAAGCACTGATTTTACTGACCACTTTTACTAACCTTTGCTGAACATGTGTAATGTATTGGCATACCTAGTCAGCATAGACCAAAAAAAATGAAATGTGATCACAATTTTTGTTTCTTTTCTCCACACCATATATGTTGAAGAAATAAAAACCAAAACACCTTTTTATGGAAATGTGGATGTTTCAAAAGAAGGGAGATACATTCTTTGGGTCAATATTATACCACAAAGGACCAAGTTCACATAAAGTGATATCTTGTATAGGCTGCAGACCCAATAGAATGGGCAGAAGAAGGGTTTGCACATAACATTCATTTTTGTGGCTTTGGGGAGGGGAATCCCCAAACATTTTCTCCTTAAAAAGGTTCACTATCCCAGATAACAATTTTAATTAATTTATCACTTTTGGATTTATTCCATTTAGAAGACAACTACTCCCCTATAAACTATGGCTCCCACAAAGTCTATCAAACTCTGATATCTTCCAAATATAATAAAAAATATGAAAAACATTATGTACTTCGCATATGCTGTACGGTAACATTACATAAATATTTAACAGTCTGAAAACAATAAAAAATGTCAATTTGGTATTATTTAATTGTTTGTTATCAAAGACAATGAATGCCAAGAACACTTATTTGAAAATCAGCTCAAAGTTTTTGTACAAAAAATAATAATCCTCCTACAGTAACAAATAATGAATGGTTTTGTCTGTCTGATGGACCATTCATTTACTAAACAATAAAGTGACATTTTATCAAGAGGGCTCCTTTCAGCAAATGTTCTTAAGTAAAATAATCTAACTTCATTATGAATCCTGGATAGGAGAAAATCTTGTCTTTGAAATAAACAGTAGTTCACACCGTACCCGATTCTTCATTGACAGGTAACTTACTGGTCATAGGCACCTTTTAAAAAACTGCACGCATAAAATATCTTCACATGACTCTGACTGTCCAACTTGGTTGTCTTACATTTGTGAGTCACTTTCCATTAAGGACAGGAGGTAAAGATCATATTCTATTACCCAGCCATCGAACAGACCCGTTAGTATTCTCATTAAACTTGCACAAGTATAGAATTTCTTAGTAAAAGATCTCTCAACATGGTCAAAGAATAATAAATTGGTTTAAAATTCCTTTTGTCATATTCCATGTGAAACAGCTGCTTTATTCACATATAAATTAAAATGGCAGTTTTCTTTATCTTTTTAACAGCTGCAATGGCACATAATTTTCAAGAATAAGTCATCTGCTCTTAATTATTGGCTTCAGGGTAAGTAGGATATTTCACAGTCTCAATTTTTTCCTTAACTTTGTAAGAGGGGTAGAGACCAGTCCTTCCCAGTTTGCGGTTAATGCCCTTTGAATAGCCATCCCAGTGGTTTCCAGCTACTCCAATAATGTCCCCAGGTTCCATAGGGATTTCATCAGGGTTCCTTGGATTGTGGGGATATATCGCAATTTGGTTGTGAGCATTCTGTCCTCCAAAGTAATAAATATCATCCAAGGAATGAAAGTTGGCTGAAGCATCTGGATGAAGTGTTTGCATGATTTCATAGGCAACTCGGCAGACCTATGCAAAAACAATTACAAAATAAAAGATGAAAATATATACAACACATCCCATGTGATTAGTTCATTTCAATGAACATCAGTACATTTACAATAAAAAGTTAAATATGCAGCCAGCTATTACATTTAAATTGGAAAAATTCAGTACCCGCTCTTCTATAGGATTCCCATAGAAAAGTAATATCTTACCGCTGTTCCCAGTTTTCCTCTGAATTCAATACTGGAAATGGTCAACAGTAGTACTTCGGGAAAAGCAATAGCTTCTCTAGGTGCTGTTTGGCGTATTTTAAGTTGGCTAGTTTGTGGGACTGATGCAACAAAAATGACTAACAAGTAACACATTTTGCCCAGGGTATGTACATTTATGAGCACCATTGTAAACTATAAATTGTAAATTGATTTAAAAAAACATATTGCCCTTCAAAGCAGGGCTTGGAGCCAGCTTGTGTTTATCTAAACAATGGGAGCAAACTTTATTTTGCCCTTTATTACTTACTTTAAAAGACTTCCCTTGTGTACATAAAACAGTTACAGTTTCTTTCATCTACCACAAGTTTTGTCTTGAGGCAATGGTTGTATACCTGTGCACCCTAATTCTTCCTACTATCTCATTGCTTTGCATCAAAAGGGAGTTGTGAAATGGTTGTAACATAGCATGATTTACCCTTTCGCTGCCACTGGCGTAAGGCTTAGGCAGTAACAACATGAAGACAGGCTCTCAGCTGCTACAGCAGTCAGGAGTTTGATTACCTCTTTTCTGTAAGCTGTTGGCTTGCTAGTTAAGTTAGCACTTCTACATGCTCACAAAAGCAACCCCCACTGCCATGTGTCCCTGGCTCACTTGTCCTTCCTGGGTGCCCGGGGTCTCAATGGTGAATGTAAGTATGGAGAGCAGTGGGAGATCAGTGTACACCTGTTTGCTGATGCCCTTGTGAAGAACGAACCTGGAAGCTTTCAGCTCTGATCACTTCTAGGTTAAGCAATGTTATTCCCTGTCTTCCATGGTCAGGGAAGGAGAAGGCAAGTGAGCACCATCTGTGCTCGGTCAGCTTCAAAAGACTGCAAAGGTGACACTAGGATGGTTTTTCACAGAAGAGCCCAAGGATCCAGCCCTGGCTGCGGCTGATCCTTCGGTTCACTTCGGCCACCTGAGCCCTGCGGCTCAGTTGAACCGAAGGGCTGCTGTACGGGCTATTCGCAATAGCCCGTACAGCAGCCCAAGGCAGCCGAGCCCAATGCATATGCTTCGGCTCGGCTGAACCGTAGTGACAGCTGAAGAATGGAAAAAGGTTGGCCAAATGACAGCTGGGTGGAGCCAGCCGTGATCTCACGGCTCGCTCTGCCCAGTCATAATGACAAATCAGCGTCCCCAATGACATGGGGACGCTGATCTATAATTACCAAATAGGCAGAGCCGCCCGTGACGTCATGGCCGAATCTGCCCAGTTGTTTTGTTTTTTTGCCTGGGACCTGCTAGAACACTCAAGTAGGTGCCGGCCAATAGTAAAAAGTTGGGCGGAGCCAGCAGTGATGTCACCGCTAGCCCCGCCCAATTCTTTATATTTTGAAGGCATCTGTCAGATTCAAAGATTTTTTCTAAAGCCTGTCGTCTCTTTTAAACTTTTAATTTAACCCTTTAGTGAATGGGTAGGGGTATATACCCCTTACTCATTCACAATGGGGGTGCATCTGGGTGCCCCTTTATTAAAGGGGTAACCCAATGTGAATAAGCCCCCCCCCC